GGGACAGAGGAGAAAAGCAGGTGATGTAGAATAGGTATCTCACTACCTCATGAGTAGATTTCTCTCTCATCATGACTGGAAATTTTAGATCTAGCAAGGGCTCAAGTATTTATGGCTCGAGTGTAAGGCTATGACATTAAAACATATTATGGTAAGCTGGTGACAGGAGTTCCAAAGAAAACCCAAAGTCTCCAAAGACAAAAAGGATAATAGGCAAAGTAACAAAATTCTGCTTAACTTTAAAGAAGCACCTTCATTCAATTCAGACAAAGTTCCAATATTTGATTTTGCAAAGCACTCTCAGGAACAGGCAATGTAATCTCCCACTTCACCTTTCACAAAGCTGCATTAATTACATTCCAGGCTTCAGCATCATTTCATTAGTAAGGCCAATCACGCGGTTCCACTGGCCCTGCACCCTTGCACACAGCAGTTAAATGCAGTGTTCACCATCTGCTGTATGAAAATGGCAATAATTCCTTAACACCACTTAAATCCCAGAAATTCCCCAGAAATGTGGGGAAAAGGTGTTGGTAAGACACCATCGGTACCCACTCCAGGGACCGATCCTGCCACTAACGCACACCCGCGGCTGCTCATGGCTTCGAGGGGAGCTTCTGGTCCAGATAATTGGACAGAGCAAACGAAGCGAAGGAACCCAATTAAGTGGCAGCTTAACAGCAGGTCTTGGTTCTAGAGTCTCTGGACTCTCACTGACAACAATCAGAAGTGGTTTCAGATGCACGTGAGTTTTAACCGAATAGGGCCAGCAAAGTCAATGCAGCTCTGAAAGGCACTTCAGGTAGAGCAGTAACCAACTCCTGCCTGATGGAAGGATCCAGAACAAGCCTGCTGGTCCTGCTGCCTGGGCTGCCCTTTCCAACTAAGGCAATTTTAGTGGGTCCCTTGCTTCCACACACTGCTTCCCGCCATGGCTTTACTTGAGCCACACAAACAAAGCATAAGGCCTTACTAAAAAACCAGAAGGCTCAAGAGCTTCCACCTTCCTAGCAGAAGGGGAAGAGGGTTACCTCACACTAAGGGAACAGCCTGCACAGTGGGTTACTTATTTCACTGTTTTAAATATGCTGTCAAGGTCTCATCATGCAACTCTTTAAAATACTTTAACTCTACAAGTTCAATCTCTTGCTTAACAGATAAACACAGACAAATGAACACAGTATCCTCCCAAACTGCCAGGCCACTGCCTTTTGAGAGATACAGTAAATGTCTATTTTGAATAGAGATCATGGAAAAGAAATATTGTTTGATTTAAAGGCTACCTTGCATAATTACTCAAAACCAGCCCATCCAGCCACTCAGCTAAGTCGTAATCGAAGCCATCAGTCATCACAAAAAGCACCTTCGTATCAGCAACTGCTCACCCCTATGAAACTCAGTCTGAGTTTGAAATGTATTAGGACTAATTTTACCATGTAGCTGATTCTAGTCATGCTGGTGATCCACTGTTTTCAAACAATCAAGTATTGTTCCCATCAGTATTTTACATTACTGTAACGGATTTATCCATATCATCACTCTCCCACCACCCCCACCCCCCAAAAAAGAAGAGAAATAAAAATACATCCCACAACTGCTCAAATAAGGAAAAAACCCAACTAACAGCCATACAGTGAAACAAAGACACTATTTAAAAACCAAATGGATGACAGTCCAACAGCCTGTGGGATGCAAAACTGACTCTACAAAGTAGTTGTCTACATTGTAGAAAGGATTTCCTTTTATTTGGAAAACGAGCAATTGTAAATCAGGTATTGGAGAGAAGAGATATCAACAATCTTTAGATGGTCTGAAGTTTTGCCTACTGTTGAAGGATTAAAACCGTAAATAAAAAGGTACCAAGCCCTCAGAGTTCACCGTTCATGTGAAGCTTCTTCCATCTCTTTCTTGACCTTTTTAAAAACCATATTCATTTCTGGGAAAGGAAGGGAGAAGAACATTAAAGTTACTCAGGAAAAGAAAGCAGCAATTACTTCTTAGCCTGACACAATACAGAAGTGCTCAAGAAAGCCTTAAACTCAACTGAAAGTCTCAAACCGAGCGTATGAACTGAGTGGTCCTTTGGCAGTAGAAGATGAGGCTGTGTATAAACTTGGAGAAGGTCCCTGGACTAAATGGATGATCCACACTTACAGTTACCAAATAGAAAAGGGAAAATGGGATTTCTGAGGGCTTTAAAAACACAGGGGGAAGATGATAAAAGGCTTTAGATTAGAATCAAAAAAAATTAATTACTAAAGTCACTTTAAATGCAAAGGTTTTCCTTTGCTGTATTCACAGCCCATTAACTGAAGTATCAGATAAACTTATTAGCTAATAACCTACACATAATATTCAGTCGTCTGATTGCAAGAACCAAATTATAACAGATATTTAAAGTGTAAGAAAGAGAATCCACAGATTTCTCACCCAGCAAATGCAAGGATTTAATTTTTATTAGTATGACAACACCACCACACCAACTGCTCACATCACACAGGCACAGCAGTAACTGCTCATCCCATCTTTTATAAGGCTGAGTACGAGATCAAGTGTTCTCTGAGTCTCTTTAGACACACACAAATCCTTACTATCAAGCAGATCACTTTTAAAAGACATGGAAACTTCAGACTGTAGTTGCTACTCATCTTCTGCTAGCGTGCAGAACTTCAGTCTCCTGAGCAATAAAGACTTCCAACTCATGTCACTGGTGAGCCAGGACACGAGAACAGAACCCAAATTACCAGTATTCCTAAAATATTAATACTCCATGTTATTTTGTAAGAGTAGACATAGATGCAACTCAATTAAAATGAGCTTCTGGAATTTAAACACCCCATTGGATTACATGCATTTTGGGCCTTAAAAAGTCCTTTCTATAGTTCCTCTCAGTTTGGTTTTAGGTACATTTTCTCCAAACACCACAAGCCCAGGCTAGATTCCAGCTCACTCCTGAACATCCATACCTGCCTTTGCATGGAAGTCTCTGTACATCTTCTCATCTGAAACTCTTCTGCTGTTGCATCAGCCCCACATTTTCATATACTCTAGCACTATCTTCTCTCATTCTGAAACAAAACAAATACTTACAGTCCAAAGGATCTAGGTGCAAGAAAGCTGTATTTATACACACAATTTAATTCAGCGACAATTTGGTTTGCTCAATTTAAGAGCAAAGCACAGGGCAACAGTCTAGGGCAGATTCTGTGATAACTCATTCACATTTGAGGTCCCGGATGATTAGTGCCTATGTTTTGAACTGTACTAACAACAGAAATGACTTACTCTGGACACGCTGGGGTTGGGGTACAGGGTAGAAGAGGGCTCTGATCCCCACTTGTCTGGTCCGATAAAGAATATTTAATGTTTGTGTATTCATGACCTTTCCTCTTACTCTTCTGTGAAGCAAAACACAATAAAAAGCCAGGTTTTGGGATACTAATAGAAAATAATCATGAAAGCAGTGCAGAAATGACATGTATGACTAAACACTTATGCTTTTAGAAGAACGGTGTGTCTATGAGGAGGAGAGAGCTCAGTTCTGTAGATAACACACACAAATGGGTAAGACATAAAGGCTGGATTTAGCTACTGGTTATAAGACCTGAAAAATCTCACTTTTCAATATTCCCCTTTCCACCATCTCCAGCAGTTTACACCAACCTTATGAACTCGTAGGCAGTCTTCATCTTACTTGGCAGAAGAAACCACACTTCATTCTTTAACAGACAATACCAGCCAGTGGGCTTCCCACTGACCTTATTTCCAGCTTGGAGATGTGGCCAAATGAGTAACAATGTTGTTTGCAAGATCTCTAATAAAATAACATCTTAGCCCATTAGGTTTGATATAAAAAGAACCCAAGCTGTTATTTGTATTCTGCAACATATGTTCCAAGCTGCAGCCAATTGCACTGGCATGCAGCTAAAGATACTGGAGGCTCCAGCAAGCAAAGCTACACTAGGAAAGAAAGGGGATATGGCTTTTTCCTTTGCAAGATGAACATCCACAGCATATGCAGACATTGAAACCTGCATAGAAATTAAAGCCTCACTTTCAAGTTTTACAGGGTATTGGGTTTGAGGGGTTCTCCTGCGGCGTTTGTTGTTTGGAAGGGGGTTGGTTTGGTTTTTAAATGCTCGAACAAGTCCTAAGTAAGTGGCCTGGATCAATCTCACAGCAGAGGTTGTCAGAGCCTCTGGGGAGTTCTGGCTGCTAAGCTTCACTAAGAATGCTTTGTATATAGCAACGTAGGTTGAAGTTTTTCCAAGGCAGCCTTCTAAGACTGCTCAAAACTTGCTCAACTTGTTCTTTTACTGAACGTCCCCCCTTTCAGGCTCCTACTTCTGACAAATCACTTTCATATATACTGCCAGGACAGATCAATTGCCTGGAAAGTAATGCTAAAAAGTAAGATTAAAACGAAACGCAAAGGTTCAAACTCTGCTGCACTCCAGTATTACGGCTACAAACCCCTCACCTGCCAGTAATGTTCTGAAGCCCAAAACTAGGGCTTGATTTCCACCCCAAACTGTTAAATGGCAGTTCAAGTTATAGCTGTACTGTACAGTAAAAGCAATTAAAAGGATCAGTTGGATCTATTACTTAAGCTGACTGAAACAGATAAAACAAGCCAAGAAAAAGTAGATATCTGGCTTTAATTCCTTCTGCTTAATTCACCTGTAATGATCCTTTCTAACTCAGAATCACTGCAATGTGGTAAGAACTACCTGTTTGAGATGCAAGAGAATATAACATTTCTCCAAGGGGGGAAAAAATAATTACAAATATCATAAACCAAATTCACTTTGCTTTTCTTCCCCACTTGTAAGAAGACAGGCAACATTCAACACAACACCTAACTGTGAAATCTTGAGGCTCTCAGCATTGCAAAGCAAGAAGGAATGCTCGCAGAGGAGGGACATTTTTCTCCTGAATACAAAGAGCAGGCAGATCTATGTGAACAGATGCAGCTGCTCACAAATCCACTTCTTCAGTCCAGCTGGTTGCAAGTCCTGCATGACAATGGGCTAGCTAATGTGACCACCTCATTTCTTTTCAGAGCTGGCTTGTGTTCATCCAGACAGAAGAGCAGACGGGAACACAACCTCATATGCGTTCCTATAAAGTCCTAATTGACTTCACCAGGTTTTTTTCACCAATTTCCATTGTTTGCAACTGCACTTAAAGTATGCATAGAGAAGAAGGCTTCAGTAGTTTCCCTAAACACAGTGTTTCATTCCCAAACTACCTTATTGGGATGAAATTCAAGCATTCTACTACTCAGCCAGGGTTTTTTCTGCTCTATCAAAGCATGCTTTGGAGCATCCCCAGTTCATCATCTTTTTTCCAGGACATTAGCTCCTATAGTCACCACAAAGCTTTGCTTTTGTTTGGGAAGTGCTATATTGTTTTATGTCTATAGCTGCCACTAGCCCTAGTTATAGGTCAAGACCTCTTGAAGTAAAGCAATGGTCCACTTCCAGTTTCTTTTTATACCTGTGCCTTCTGAGCTAGTAATGGACTAGAGGATGAAACACAACTGAGCCTTATAACTATAGAAGAAATACATTGCTCCACTTAATATTAAGATATTATTCAAAACCCATTACAGTGATCAAGAGAGAGCTCCAGATTTACTCTGCAAATGGCAGCAGCAAAAGAGACCCTATTCAACAAGCTGAGGATACTTGCATAATTATACATAGAGATACAAGGCAGCTCCTTAGAGCAAAATGAGACAACAAAGACAGGAAAAAAAGTACACCTGGGGGATTACTTGTTCTTCATTTTGTGTCTAATCACCATCAGAGCACACAACAGCTGTCCTGAGGAGAGGAATAAAGCCTCTATCCTCTCTGCTAACAGTGCATCCACATCATGTAGGCAAATATCAAATCAGCTCTGCCACACTCCAAAGCAGGCAGAAGCTACACAAGAGAGTGGCTTCTCCTGGAGAGTGCCAAGCCCAAGCTGGCACACTCCATCTCTAAAGAGGGACTGTATCTCCTATCTGGCACAGTGCTAACCATGCAGCTCCCCACATCTGCCTCATCAGTTGTGTGTCTTTGTCTCCCAAGCAGCAAGCCAGCTGCAGAAGGAAAGACTCTGAACTTGTGAAACAAAGGTAAAAGTCCCAGATGACCAAAGAATGAAAAGCAATAGAGAGCAGAATGCCACAGTTCTTGATTACAAAATGAAGCAACTTCTGTAAGACTGTAGGATTTGAGTGCAATGACATACTCAAAACAGGAAGAGTGACCTGAAGGTCTTGTGGTTGTCAGCACATATTCCAAAGCTCTTCTCACCCTATCACACCAACTCACTCCTCTGCTTTTTGTTGGACACCGTACTACTGCAAGATCACCACACTCATTCTTTCATCTCTCAGTCCAATATACTTACTAAAAAAAACATGTACTTTAGGACTCTGAAATTGGTATTAGAGTGTCTAGCACCTGAATTTGATTATCATACTTTAGAAATACAGTCAACATTTAAAATCTCTTTAAAACACAATAGAACACAAAGTTCTGCACTGAGTAACAGAGCCTTATCTTTTGTTGTTCTTGTATAGAAAACTAGGTAATATTAAGGGAATTTGAGATGTGGGGTGCAGGGGCTGGGGGACAGGGAAGACAGGATCCCACACACGCAAGCATTGCCATAGAAGGTCCTGATTTTCTTCCTCTGCCAGTGGCCAGACACACTGGTTTCATTTTATGGCTTTCTAATTATCTAATTTTAGATAATTCTTATGCATAATGAACTGAAATACAGACTAACTTCTCTGAACAGGGTTAACAGGTTACAGACCCAGTTTTGTCCCGATGCATTGGCTGAACAGTCAGCATTCAATGCCTCCAAAAAGTCACAGGCAGCAAACGAGCAACTCTGCTCCCTGTTCAAATGCTAACATGTTCCTCTGGAATGTTTACACTCAGGACAAATGTACCTGCTCCTCCTCGATTCTGCGCTGTAGCGTTTCAATGTAGTGCTGTACTGCCATGTAAATAAACCTGTACTGTGCTTCTGTCTGAACCATTCCTGACCGCTGTGATCTCACCATCTGAATGGTCTTTGGAACATCAATATCACAGTCCACACCTAGAGAGAATCAGCATAAGGTTAAGAAAAGTAAAACAAGCTTTGACTTTGGAGGAGGGATTGGTCTCACCTTCCAGCAGAACCTACCTTTTTCTCTGATTATGTCAATAAGAATATCAATCACAATGAAAGTTCCTGTTCGCCCAATCCCAGCACTGGAAAAAGGGAAGAAAAGAAGTTAATTGTTTGGCTCTTCCTGAACAGCCACCAAAACACCAGTCCAACTCAGAGGCTAATATGGAGACATTACACTTCCAAATTATAGCCAGAATCAAACCAAGCCACACAGCTAAAAGTAACTAGAGACCTAATCAACTTGACATGGAAGAGACAGAAGTCGTGAGAGCTTTTATTAACATCTCTGAATCAGAAAAAACTACAGGGCCAGATCTAACATTTCCTTGCCTTATAAGAAGTATTTAATTTATAAGCCAAGACTGAGGAGAGAGCACTCACAGGAGGTGGGATGGGATACTAGGATTTCCACGCTCCTGAACCTGAAATGTATGCAGGCAAGACTGGAACTACCTTCCCATACATAAGAAATCCTTATTCACACAGACTTTGTGTTTTGCAAAACACAAAGCACAAACAGAACAGAGAGATAAAAAAAGGCTCCAACTCCACAAGGCAGAGGGTAGTAGCAGGAGAGGCACAGCGCATCACCATACCTGCAGTGGACCACAACTGGTCCTGCATCAGAAATGCTCTCCTGCTTATGGTGCACCTCCTCTAGAAAGTCTAGTACACCACCAGGGTCACTTGGGACTCCATGATCAGGCCAAGTCCTGAAGTGATATTGCCAGACTGTTCTCTCTGTGTTCCCCTGGAAGGAAGATGCCAACATATGAAAACAAAATCCTTCACATCAAAATCCAGCTAAAAGCACTTCTGTGGCAAAGCTGAGTCAGATCAGAAGGTGGCACATCCAACCTGCTGCTCGGTATCCACAGCACCGCAAATCTATTAAGGGAGGAAGAAGCCAGAGTTGTTCTTGGCCTGACAAGTCAATCACACCACTTGCTTCCTCAGCTCCCTCTTTCTCATGCAGTTGTTTCCAAGAGCATTTCCATCTTCACCTTTAGAAGCCACAGCAAAATTCTGTCTGAGGGCAACCAAGAGCAAGGGACCTTCATCTGTCATACTCACCATTCATACCTACAGACACCTACCTTATGCACTTTTTCCCACTCAGCAACATCCCATGCACACTCCAACCTAACACAAGCTGCTAATTTGCTTCTTACACAATTTGTTGTGCACCCTGATCCAAACTGTTCCTTAACAAGGAAGCGCTATTTCCACACTAGTTAACTGTCTCTCCTTCCTCATCTTTTGTATTCCTTAAGTCTTCTTTCTACACACTGGACCCACACAGAACCATTTTCTTCTAGCACAACCATCTCCATGAAAGGGAGCAAATGTTTAGCTAGACTTAAATGCAACTACTTTAAAGCATCGTCCCTCTTTCCAGATTTCCTCAAAGCTCTGCAGTTGTGCATCTTCTGTCAGAAAGTGCTAAGGTTTAAGAATCTTCAATTATCCCAAAGACAAAGAGAAAGAACTAAACCTGGAGCTTCAAAGAAAGACAGGGGTCAATTCATTAATCTCTTGGTGCTTTTATTGATCCCAAAGAAACAGTCTGTTTCTCCAATTTTTCTGGTGCTCTTCAACCTCAATTCACACGACAGAGTTACTAGCATACTTACTTGCCCAACTTTAGAAAGCTTAAGTTCTCTTAGTGTGTAATCATGTGCTGCACTCTCCTTAACATTCCTGACACGCATAACTCCATACTCCTTTAGGGAATATTCATCAGGCCAGTACTTGACGCACTTACTCTGCAAGATTAAAAGAGGCATTGGTAAGAAGAAGGGCTGGTTCACAAACTGGTCAACAAAGAACATTTCTGAATGCAGAGAGGATGATTCCTGGCACCAACTGGACAGCTAGCTGAGAAGGTAAACTATATTTTAGGTGGACATTTCTCTTCCACACAACAAACACTGGATGATTTCAAACAGGTACAGACAATGTCTCCATTTAGCATCTTTTGTGATCATCTTAAACACCTGCTTTGCCTCAACAGTTTCAAAGCCTGGAGATGAAAACACTGTTATTTGTATCTCCACTCAACTACAGGTTTCAACTACTGAGTTTCCAGTGCAATGCTGTAGCTTTACAGACTATTCTACAATCCAAACCCAACAGGCTGTGAAATAAATTCAAGTCAAGGGTATAAGCCATTTTTTTTAGCAGAAATGAAACTTGGATGCTTGCTTTTCCATCACTTACAGCAGAAAGAGCTAACATAGCTCTCTAACTCTATTACCAATCACCAAAGCAACAAAGAATTGCTCCCTGTGGCAGGGGGCTGAAGCCTCATGTGTCTGTAGCTTCTGAAATGTAGAGCTTTTGGTGTGCTACATCTCTCTCAAGATTATCTTTGGACAGGGATATATTCCACCCACTGAGGAATGGATTCACCTATTGCTACTTTCATTTGGTTCCTGTGACAGCTCAGGAAAGAGCAACTCCTGTCAGCCTGTGAATGCAATACCAGTCCACAGAGTATCAAATCAGATATTATAGTGGGTACATAGATGCAGCTTCCAGCAAATGCAGACCAAACACTGAGTACTACAGAGAAACATTTCCTATTTGCAGTTACTACTGCATATTGATGAGAAAACATGGCAACAAGAAAGTTCCTTCTGCCAACACAAGACAGAGCAAGAGATGATGGAACGCATGCTCTCCAGCCTACTTAGGCAACAAGATGCTTTTCTGTTACTTTTGCCCTTCTTTCCCTGTCATCTCCAAAAGGGTAGAAGCTAAAAGACGCTGATCTTGGCGTACGCCAGCATAACTTGCAGTCTCAATACAGACCTCTGAACACCAGAGCAGTTGGTGTAGCAAGTCTGAACAGCAACACGCAGTGTTAAAATAAGCTTTAGCCTGATGGAGGGATGTGTGTATTACTGGCTCTATGGAGTGCATCCAGAATACCACCATTTTAATTTGTATTTGCTGCTCCTACAGTGAATTCTAAAGCATACTCAGAACTCTCTGCAGATCTGAAACCTTTCATGGCTCCTCACTTCCTTAGGCGATGTGCTCTTGAAGTCATCTCTGATGCAGAGGTTTGTCCCCTTCCTGCAGATCTGAAAGCATCTTGGCTCGAGATTAAAAGGCTTTTGTTTTATATCAGGACTCTTATTTGCAATTCTTGAAGAAGTGAAATAAGCATCAAGAGAACAAGAAAGAATAAGAGAAAGAAAAAAAAAACCAATGCATGCAGCACTGATCAAGTAATCAGACATTAAAATGTCTCCTACAGCCAGAACACAGACAACAGGCTTTGCAAAGTTTGGAAAGGATCCTGGAGAAGCTGCAGAGGAGCACAGGCCATCCATGGGCTATTAAAAAGTAAAAACTAAGTAAGGTTTATTCAAGTCAGCTCTTGCAAAACAACACCATAATTTATTGCTCCTCTTCCAAGGGGAAGAGAAACAACATGGTTTGTAGAAAACCACAGACACTTCCCTGAGTGGTTTTAAAATATATAAAGCTAAAATTTAATCAGTCAACCCTTAAAAAAAGGGAGGCCTGATGATGTGATAGGAGTATACCCTCAATTCCCACAGGCGCCAGTAAAAAGGACCTTCAGCATATTCCTTGCACACCAGGTTTCAGCACATACATCAATATAATCAAGACAGTTTAGCCCTTATTGTGTTCAGATGTCATGGCTTTCCCAAGGCCAGTTTGAGAGTCTGTTTTTACCTTTCCTCTTTCAACTTCTTTTGTTGTCATAACAATAACTCGAGAATTCTCCTGGAACACCATCCTCCAGAAGTCATTCACTGTATTCTGTAGGCAACCTTGAGTAGCAATGTAGCTTTTTTTTGGCTTCGAGTTGTTGCACTTGGTTTCAAACTCAGGCTAAAGGAAAAAAAATCATTTGACAAATGGTTACAAGACTAACTTGGATTTAGGTGAGTATATTAAAGAGTAGACATGGGCTGTGCCACAAAGGCTCCTGTAGGTAGGATTACACTTACCATAATAATATTAGCATTGATATAGTCTGAAACAGGCTCATTTGGATCCCCATCATGTAGAACAACTCTCGTATGGTCAACTGTAAGAATATACGTGAACGTTAAGGACTTGCATCCTACAGTTGTGAACACAGAGCTATTTTTAAATATCCCACAGACAGGCTATTAAGTTATCAAACTGAGTACATTACTGGCTAGAATATTCAACCTTTCCTCTTTTGCCGTTTCTTAAAACAAGTGGCCATAACAAGCTAGTTCAAAATAGGTGTTCATGCCCCCTGGTAACTCACAAGTACATGGACAGTCGAGCACCAAGTCAAGGCAAACGGCCTCTGGTTTGCACCAAGCAGTTTGGTACCATAAATTAATCCTCTTAGATTTAAGCATTCCAGTTAGCTGAGGAACAGCTTAAGGATGTGATGCTTTTAAGTGAAAGCTGAAGATAAAAATGATATTTGGGAAATACCAATATCTACAAAGTGCAAATGGTTGAACACAAACTGCATGGGCTGATACCGACAACATCAGAGGGGGCATTATTACTGAAGAGAAGAAAAAGCACAGTGGTGCTTAATTAACCCTGTATTTATGAGCTAAGACAATAAAGCATAGAAGCAGAGCAGGCTTACATGGGAACCAAATCAATCAATACTTACAGGGTAAAATGTTTTTGTATCTATTTTTGTTTTTGTTCTCCTGGCGCTGACCTTCTTTACGACTATAGAGAAGTTTGCATTCTTGCTGCTGTAAAGTCTAAAGGAAAACAGCACAAATAACTGGGTTTAATAACAACAGTAGGGACTGTTCCATCATCCTTACAGCAATCCTTTCGCACAAAAAGGATACTTATGATGCCAGAGAAAGAGGGAGAGGTACTGCGTTTCAGACTTAGTACAGAATTGTTAATAACATGTGTAAGAAACAAAGAGTGAGAGTGACAAGGAAGCTATTTTGCACCTAATAATTACAAACACCTATGAATTCAAAGCTGCTTTAAACCAAACTCATGATACCATTCTGACCAAGCAGACACATTGGGCCCTTAAAGCTTTTAGCTGTAAAACACTTTGTGAGGAAACCACAACTGGTTACAATGGGCCACAACAAAATGTTGGCTGTGGAAACGTGGCCATTTGAAAGGCACTCTAAATAAACCAGACAACACGAGCACCATTCTACAGAGTAGGTCCAACATATTTATCACTAGGTCCTTCTAACCGAGCATAAAACTTACAAGTACCACTGCATTTCTCCTTTTTGCTGAACCAGGCAGGTATGGAGGCAAAACATTTCCACTGGCCTGGCATTAGCTTTAAGAATAAAGGTTAGTACCTAAAGCATTCCAAACTATGGCCAGATTCCAAAGGATTAAGGCACTTTGCAATCCAGTGCTTCTCTACCTGACCTGTGCCGGATTCCCCCAGGCCTTAGCAGGCACCTTCATCTCCCTCAGCTACAGCAAGTGTGCAGTACTGCTGCTAGGAAGCCCCCAAAACAAGTCCCTGAGACTACAGAGGCTGTGTTACATCACCACCACAAGAGCAGATCCTCACCAGCTGCAGCCAGACACTGCAGACAGCCAAAGAGGAGGAAGAAGCATACAGAAAACCCAAAGCACATCAACACAAGCAACTGTATTTAATTATCAAGCACAGTGAAGAGTCCTTCAGCAGTTAGAAGCAGAATATTAGGAAGATACTCTTATCCATTCCCCCAAAATAAAACTCCACATGGAAATGCTACAGTGTTTTCAAAGGGAAGGATGAGACAGGTAAAATTCTAACGTACAGCCCACCACAGCCATGTACCACTCTAATTACTCTCATTATTCTCTCCTACCAACACAAAGCCATTTCACTAAACCAGTACAAAATCTTGCACAGACTTCCTCACATCACCCTGTTGGGGAAAGAAGGGGAGGCATCAGGTAACTACAAACAGGGTTATCCACAAATCAGCCTAGTGTAGAAGCAATAAACACACATGGGGATGTCTCCTGTTGGCAGGGAGCTAATTCCTCAGTGTCTGGTTCACAATCAACATGACAGGGACAACAGCAATTCCACACTTCACAGCCATGCTGCTTAGTAGCAAATCTCTCTGCTTGCAATGAAGCTGGAGGGACCAGAATTGTGTCTGTGTTCCAAGTTTTAATCCCCAAAGCAGTACTGGCCTGACTAAAAGGAATACTCAGGCTTTGGAAGCTGTTCCCCTTGTTATTACCATCCTTAATACTCTTAGAGAAATTGCTTTTACTTTAAAGCTTGGGCATGTCAGGCATATTTGCTCACTTCTATTTCAGTCTCTGTTGTTACCGCCTCACTTAGTGACCTTGGACAATTAGGCTATCCTAAAGACATGGAAACCAAAGAACAAAACCAATACAAGAGAGCTGCAAAGCAAAAGACAGAAAAACATATCCCCATAAACCACAGCTTGCTTGTACTAGTGGTGGATGAAACAACACTTTGCAGTAAGTTCCCCTCTTGCCCACTGCAAGAGCCATTTAAGTGCCATTATCACAGAGCACCCTGACCTAATATTACACTTTTGAGTCTCAGGCAAGTGAAACACCAACAGAAAGAACCAAAAGCTAAACTTTGGCTGCAGGTTAAAACACAGGAACAGTGAAGTGTGGGGAAACCATAGCTTCAAACACATCATCACTTCATACAGTTAATTGTGATTGCTTTGAGCATCCCTGAGGAGAGATCCATGAGCAGCAGCGACTTCTAACAGGCCCATGAAGAAATGTACACAATGCAACAACAGATCTGAAACAGTCCTCAGTTTCACTCCACCATCCAAGCTTTAAGCTCACCAAACAGCCATTTTTCACAAGTGAAAACTTTACGAGGACTGTCAACATTTCTGTCTAGCAGTTCAAGGGACAAGAGGAAGACAAGTACCATCTGGACTGCCAACTCAAACAGCACAGGCAGAGATCCATGGACAACCTGGAGGTTGGACCCTGCCTCCTGCCACCAAGGCTGACAGCTATCACCTACCTGAGGTGAATGGAAGCACGACACAAACTGCCAGGAGATTGCATCAGCTCCAGAATCACAGTGGGGAAGACAAGGTTTGTGCTGCCCCCACCACCAGCAGCAAAGGGAAAAAGAAGTAGAATATTTCAGGGATAAAACCTTTCATTCCTTACATTTACTTTTCCTGTAAGACTTCTGGCTTGCTGGCAAACACTGTTCTTCAGGAAAGTCACAAGGCAGGAGAACACCTTCTAAGGACCGAGTGATAAATCCATTACACGACAAATTTATTCAACAAAGACCAGAGGTCAGGAAAGAAGCTCTAAGTGTCAAGTAATAGTTCTGTCATATTGTGACAAATCAAGTCCATTCCTAAGTGCACTTCACCGGAGTGCATCCCTCAAGATAAAATAAAACCCAAACCAACCACAAACATTAATTCACCATCAGGCAGCACCAATGACGAGAAGGGAAAGCCAAGAGGACACCCTTTCCTTTTTGTGCCCTCTGAACAAGAGTGAGGTGTGCTTAAAGACTCCAGGGAAGCCAACAGAGACCCTAGGCCTGGCTAACTTGTAAAGGTATGATCAGGCTAAACCACACAGGTTCATGGGTTGAACTCTGCAAGAGAAGCAATTCAAAGGTTGAGGGCAGTTTACCTCCAGGGGAGGTTCACAAGCCATAGGTGAGAGCTGCTGCCCAGGGGATCCACCACTGCTGCTGGGTAAAACAGAGCCCCAGGTCCTCAGCAGTGCTCTGAGCAGCCTCTGCTGGGTTGCTTCCCCTCCAGGTAGGATTCTGACCATTCCACAGTCCTGGGTCACAGACTGTTCCCCCACACTGGGCACAGGGAATTGAGAGGAGAAAGTCCAATCCTCAATTGATTCCATCATTTCCCCACTGCCATGACCTCACCTTCTGACATTCCATGCACATTCCCAGAGAAATCTGCTACCTCTTTGGTAATCTTTTGCTTTTCCTGGGTTTGTGTTTCTCCTCCTGACAATCTCAGATCAGACTGAACAGTGCATTCAGCTAATGAATATGTCTGATCAAAAAGAGAGTGTCTTCAATAATGGTTGCTTTGAAAATCTGTCATTATTGAAGAAGTTTCTCAAAATAGCATTACCCAGCCAGAACCAGCCTCTGACAAAGACCAGGACTTGCCAGTTTCCTGTTGCCATCTGCTGGTGGAGTACCAGACTCCACGGTGGTGTTCTCAGGTGTAAACCAGCCCATTCTATTTAGGACAATTCTAAGCTTTTGGCTATGACCACCATATGAATGCAGCTGTGAAGTGACTCCAGTTGTTAGAGAAGGGTTGGTACCCAGGTTAGATTCAAATAGTCTGGAATTTGACAGCTAATGCTCTTAACTTTGCTCTACTTAAGAAACTAACAGTTTCAGCTGTATTTTCTTTGAAACGTAAGTAGCTCCCTGAAATCATTAGGACTTCAAAGAACGGGATAGCTGGGCCAGCACAGCTATGTTAGACACGAGAAGTGCACAGATAAGACAGAGAGAAAGGCAATGAGACTTTCGGGGAGGGAAATGGAATTTTGGCTGCAGGCAGAAATGAAGCACCAAAATAGAACACAAATTAATCTCCAAGAGTCCAAGGAATACATATAAACAACGTGGCTTCATCTTAGAGCTTGCTACTGCTTCACAAGAGTTTTAAGATCCCCCAAAATGGCTATTCAAAAACCACAAGCTCAAGGTCAAGAGCATATATTGACCAAGAAATCACAGTGAAGTTTCCTGAAAATAGGTACCCGATCTCCTGAACACAGCAAAGTGCAGACAGAAATGTCCTCTGTACCGAGACATGCAACAGAAACCACAGTGCAATTCCCTTCATATGCACCCAACATATTCCAACTGCATCAGACACTGCTACTGTACTGGTACTTGGGTCACCAAGAGCGAAGTAGGCTCAGAAGTAGACCTCTGCCTCCAGCAACATTGACCCAGCTTATAGACCTCCTCCTATCCACATAAAGAAAAGGAACAGAAATGAACCTGACCAATTGTCCTGGTGGGCTACATATAGTCGTACATAAGGCTCCCTCATGATGGGGAAGATATTCAGGAGGAATTATGTTAGTTACTGAATGAAGAGCATTGAAAGAAATAATTAGCTCTCAGAATAATGAAAAAAAAAAAAAAAGGCAAAATATTTCAATCCACAAGAGTGGAAATGGTAAAATTTTAACACACTGTACCTGACACAGGAAAGAAGCTAGAACAGGGATCTGAAGCAATGGGGGGGAGATGAGAAAGTGCCAGGAAGGCAGTAACAAACATAACTTTAATTAGCATAGAGATTTAAACTTATAACACTTGGAATGTGATGAAGTACCTCAAATTCCTCCCAGAAGCCCTGCTTGACTTTATCTGTAGTCTCTGCCAGCTTGCTTAGCTCTCGCACTCTGCTCTCGATCTCTGCAGCATTAATACGGGTGGTATTCAGGGGCTAAGAGAGACACAGACAGAGGTGTAATAAATGGCAACTGGGAGAAGACAGTCAAAACACACATCCCCGCCACTAAGCATATTTTGTGTAGGCAATTCTGGGATCCAGGCATCTCTTTGAACCTCAAAACTTTGCAATTCATGCAATGAAAGGCAGTGACGGTAGAGAGGAAGGGAGCAGGGAACAATTGCTTTTAGACAGTCTCATGGTTGTTCTTCAGTACATTAAGCTGTCTCATTTCTGGACTCATCCTGCAGTCCCTGTGGACCACAATAAACCAAGAGAAGTTCTGCATCAGACACACAAAACTATCCCTTCACAGGCATGTAAGAAAGTGTTCCCATTCAAATGACTGACTCTGTCATCCAGTTTCATGAAGTTTAGTTCCTCATTTTTGCATTAGGAAGGAAGCAAAATGATGTCTCACAGAACAGATGGAAAACTCTGCACTTCAGCATATTCTGAAGGTAACAAGCTTAGTGGTGTCTTCCCTGTTCACTCACCTGCTTCAGTTGCAACACTGTGCCCAAAGTTTCTACCATAGGGTTCTTCTTGTAATGTTCCACCAGATCTGTCAGAGAGTCAAATTTCTCTCCTCCACCAACGTCATATTTTAGATCCTTGAAAGACAGATGCTCTTCAAAATAAATGCACTTCCCACAACGACATCTACACTAACATCACCTTTAGGCTATGCAATGTATGAGAAATTATCTTTGAGAAAGAATCTACTAAAATCCTTCTGCTGAGGGATGGTAGGACACTACTAAGAAGAAACACGTTCGCACTAGGGGGGACATTACCCTTTTTGTCATCTAATTGAAAATCATTTCATCTGCCTTTCTGCTTCACTCAGCTCCAGCAGGCTTCCCGAGCTACACGATTAGAATCCAGGAGACAGCCTTGGAAATCAATTCAAATTCCTATTATTGCGTCCTGAAAGGCTGGTATTGATTGCACCATCCCTATTTCAAGGAAGCAATGCAGAGTTATTTTTCTCATTGTCATAAATGCTACTTACAGTTAACTGCAAATCAAAGAGGTTTTCTTGGGAAATAAAATATTCTGGTAGGTGAGCTTTTACAGTGTTGGGAGACCATTACTACCTCCAAACTATTTCTGTTATTGCATTTTAGTTGTTTTCAATCAATTAAGTCATTGCACTTTTTCTTCTGTTATCCTAAAAGACTATGCCAAAATCTGTCATTTACTGTTTTTTTTAAACCCATGAGCATGTATGAAAATATCAAAATACTACAATTTAACAATACTTCAGCAAAGAACTACCCTACGTTAAACTGAAGATTTATAGATTTAAAAGCATTCCTGGATTCAGTACGCAAAATTCATCGGTCATCTATCAGCTGCAACTATAAAAACTGACAGAAGACAGACATATATTTGGATAGATCTCTATTTGCCCAATTACTTCTGTTTTCCTATAATTCACCCAGTAGACTTTAACTTGTTTAAGGCCCACGAACATGAAAGGCTCCATCAGCAGAGGATTTTAGACAGACTACTGATGCAATCAAAACCAAATCTATTAGAAGGTACTTGACAGCACAGTATATTGTGATGTGATTCAGCCAGACAAGCAGTCAAAAGAAATAAAACACTAATATAATTCTGATGCTATCAAATGAGTCAATTTGATCACACAGATGATACAGAACACACGCAGCACCGCAGGGAAAGGGGGATGTACTCAGCTCTCTATGGTGAAGTACAACATGGCCCTCCTGTTAGAATAAGCCCACTGCACGTGGAAGCAGCCCTGTTGAAGAAGCTCGTGCTTCATCATACCTGGCAGTGAATCATGACATGTGTCACTTTAGATTTCCCATCATTACTCTCTCCTTTATCATCTCCTGTCCGGACAGAAAGAACAAAGTCCCCAGGGTGGCTTTGACTCTCACGCACAAGAAAGCTTCCATGTTTTCCTTTTTCTGTTAATAGTTTTTCAGCTTCTCTTCCAGAGAGATGCCCATGAAACCACCTTTAAATAAAGATATAGACAGGTACCCTGTTTGTCATTCCAGCCATGGCTGAATCAGCTTGTTCTAAATATTTACTATAAACGCTTATGTACACTGAACAACAGCGGCCAGGTCTGCAGAAAGCCTCAGTTTCTAAAAACAAAAAGTAAAATAAGCCTCAGAAATGTACATACACACCAGTGATTACAGAAGCACTTCAAAGCAAACACTTCCATAAGCACTGAAATTTGCATTTCACGCAAGCTTCAAATGAAGCTTTGATTTGGATCCTTTACAACAATCCAAATGATTCCCTGGTGTCCAATAAACACGAGCTTACTCTGCAACCTTTTCCTCAGTCAAAGCATTAAATCCTCTCATTTCCTTCATGAAGATAGAGTTTCCTGACAAACCTGTGGGAGCTTAGCATCTCTGAGACCTTACCCTTCCATCACATCAGGAAGAGGACAGGATAATCACGTCAATCTCATAACAAAACATTCTCCCACTAAGAATAAAGGGAGCTATGCCCTCTTTTTTAGTATTGTATCACAGCAGGAAGAATACTGAAGAATACAGGTTCTGAGGCTTAGATTGCTTTATCTTTACTCGTGTTTATTAGGCTACTTTGCAAGTAACCTAAGTGAAATCAGTTGGACCACTTTTAGTACAAGATAGTGGCCACCCTTTCATCAAATAGAAGCTGACTGTTTATCCCTATTATCAATAGGGATAAACACATGCATTTATTAAGTACATGGACACCGAGGTTTTCACCACCATTTCTCTCACCTTTCAGATGTAGGATCAGCACAGTTCAGTGGGTATTTCAACTCTATAACATCTCCATTCTTTTCCTTGAGCTGCCCATGATGTTCCATGTAATACTGAACTAACTCAGCCAACGTAGCAAACTTCTCTCCTCCATAGAGGTCATAGTAGTCTCCTGTGTTCTGGATCTTGATGTGGGTGACAGCTCCAGTTCGTCTAATATTTGAAACAAAGGAAAACACCCCCCACGAGTCAGCTGATTTCCAATCAATCACTTTATATTTAGTGTTCTGTTGTCCGAGTTAGAGGAATCCATACTTACATTTGCATCGCTTCCCAACTGAAACACTGCAGAGTAGCTACACTAGTACACCTCTGAAGGGTGCTTCAGCCACGTTGTAGTGGCTTGCATGAAGGGGAAACGTCTGTCCAACAGTCAGGAAAAACAAGGAGAAACCTAATTCCCTAACAAAGGGCCTCCTGAAGCCAGGATAAACTCTGCAGCTTCACCATCTCCAGTAGAAATCCCTCAGCCCCCCAGGAGTTGCACACACAAGCACATGAGGTGGAGGGGTGAGGAGAATTCAGCACTCTCAGACACCCATCAGAGCTTGTTTGCTCCTTTCCCTAGAATTCCACTCTAAGATCTCTCCTTCAGTAAGCACTTGCCTTTGCATGATGCAAGTCATTTGCTCCCACAGTCTAACACTAATGAAGAACAGCTCTCTGGAAGAGTCCCATTCTCTTCAACCAGGCCCATTACCTCAGAGGTATCCAAGCAGCATCATTCTTATCACTGATCCCACTTTTCCCTTGTGCTTTATCTATTTCCTCTTGCCATCCCCATCCCTATCACTATACACACAGTCTCAGGGGACAAGTGTTCCAAAAGGCTTATTTTGGAAGCTGAAATAGCATTGCAGTTGTCCTTAAAGCCTTGCTGACTTCAAGAAGAGAGCCTTGAGCAGCATTTCCTTTCATGTGCTACTTTCAGATAAGTATGAAATAGATTTTAAGGGGCTGAAAGCAATGCCATTATGACTTACTATGAATCCCCCTTAGCTTTTCTGCCTGACTGCAGAATCAGAATTCGCTACAACTTACAGTTTCCCAAAGTTGGGTAAAAGTTTTTAAGAGCCTTTTCAGGGAAAATGGGAGAAGAGAAGGAAAAGAGTGAACAATGGACTAATAAGTGATCTGTGCATTCCTTCACCTCTTACAAGGAGTTCACTTACAACTCTTCCCCAAAGAGCAGCATCAAAGACCCTTCCCAGTGTGGGGAGAAAGACGAAACCCATTTAAACTTACCTAACAGAGAGCGTGAAGTCTCCTGGGTTACTTTTGCTAGGCCGTGCCAAAAAGCTGCCATCCACTCCTCTTGTTAACAGCAGGTTTTCTGCCTCCACCCCAGTAATGTTTGGGTGAAACCATCTATTAGAGGTTAAAAATAAACAGTGTTAATAAATAAATAGAAGATCTTCTGGTCTTCAGAGTTCAACTTCCATGACAAGAGTCAACAGAACAGTCCAACAGCTTCAAAACCAGAAAGCACTGAATTGTGTTCCTAAATTAATAAGAAAGTATAAACTATTCATTTCATACTGCATTACAATTTGATGTGTTGGTAAGAGATGCTTTGTAAGAGCTATACCTAGACATACTCAGACTGCTTGGATTAAAATGGTATCAAAGGTATACAATGTAGAGACCACAATCCTACATTTTCCTTACTCAAGGAAGACAAGACACACAAAGAAACTGGAAGACAACCAGAAAAAACACTTAAAAATAAAACAAGACATCCAAAGTGACACTTGACAACATTTTAAAGGTTAAAAATGTAACAAAACCTCATGGTTTAGGGCACAGGATGACCACCAGCTGATAGTGGTCAGGAAGGAACTTCGCTTGTGGCTCAGCTGCCCAGTCTTCTCCCACCTTCCTCAGCAGAATGTGCTGCTGGTGACTGCCAGACTTTGCCTCCCAACTACCATGGCAATTTCTCTGGTCTGAATATATCCCACTTAAATACAAGCACCCAGGAATCTCATATTGATATTCACCACCCACAAAGAGCCTTCGGAATGACTAATATAGTGTCCTGCCAAGGGAGAGCTCTATATGGGCTATAGCCAAGAAGCTCCATGTCCCCACCTATGGCATGAACTTTTGAGACTTATTCTTAGCCATTGAGTTGACACATCTGCGTTTCCTCTTATCTGTGACCAAGGATTTTTACTTCACTCTTGCAGTGCTAAGCTACATCTGTGTGTTCTGGGTGAAAGGAGTTTTTAATAAGGCATGATTTTAGGAGACAATCTTAAAAAAGCCAACAAAATGCAAACCACCAGCCAGGGACACAGATGTGAACACAGCAACTCAAAACTGCCTTAATGGCTTTGTCAGACTTGTATTTGGCAAGTAAAGGATCATCTTTATTTTTCCAAGTTGCCATAAATCAGACACTGCAGGACACAAGTGGAAATGCACATTTGTATGTGCAGGAAGAACAGAGGCTGCTCTTCTTTGTACACAAAGTTCTTAGTTTCTCTGAAGTAAAACAACACGTTATGGCAAAAGACTCCACAACTCATCGTGGATACAGGACCTTAAAAAAAAAAAAAGGAGTATCATTCCTGGTCATTCCCAAAAGAGTCAGCACTTCATGCTAAATTGCTAAACCAGCAAAATGTGCAAGTGCATGTCCAAATTTAGGGTTACTTCAATTGTTTCAGCAAGTCCTTCTGTACTGAGGAGCTGACAATATTCCCAGCAAGGCTTTATCCAACCTGTTCTCTTCAGACACAGATTCTCATGGAAATATTCTGGAGAGTTTGAGAGACTACAAAACATCCAAACCTCCAGCAACTCATTCAAATGGGAGTTAGGATTATTTACGTACCAATTCCATTCCAGAAGTAACAAATTCTTCTAGTTAATCTTGCTTTTTTCCTACTTAAGGACATTTTGATTACACCAAGAAAATCTAATGAGTGCTACTATACCTTTAGCTGCAGAACAACAAAAACCAATCAAACCTATGGAGCATGGTTCATGGGAAACACTATTAAAATATTCTTCCAAGATATTACAGCAAATAGGAAATGGATTAATAACTAAGGCTACATTTATCTAATGACTACTCACAGGTCAAGAGAAGTCCTGTCTTGATGCAGTCTCACGAAAGACACTGCACAAGCATCCAGTTCATCAGGATGAACTGAACATGAAATAATGCATTTCAGAACACAGCAGGTTGGTCTGCAGAAGGTGGCAATACACTCACCATACTTCCACCCCTAAAATTGCACTTCCATTAGGAGAAAACAAACCCCAACCATATGGAAAGCGCAACATTTTGAATCATTCAGAAGCTCTTTAAACAGACAGAGGATTCAAGAGACACCTTTGCAAGTTTTTGAGTTTGTATCCTAAAATTAACATGCAAAGAAGAAGTTATTGGAATCAGCTCTGCAGATTTATTACATTAAGACATTCCCTAAGCTTTAACTAATATAGTATCTTCCATACCTTGCCCTAAACCCTCATGCATCTGGATGTAACTGCACACGAACAGTTAAAGACATAAAATGGAAAAATACTAACTTAATGAACTGAAGGGATTAGAGATAACTTGTGCTTAAAGGAGGTTAAAAAGGTGAGAAGTTGTTTAAAACCATTCCTACTGAAGATGGCAAAAAGTCAGTGCTGCAAAAGCAAAGCTACACCTGGGAGATGGATGGAGTTCACTGCGCTTTATGTAACTTCTGTTCTGGCGGTAACTTGCACTCCTGCTCTCTCATCTCTGTATTTTTGGCTTTGAGTAGGAAGATGCATTTGTCAGGCACCCCAAATAGAAAAATGGGGGTGTCGGTGATCTCTGTGAAATGGTTCCGGCCCGGTGATGAAGATACCTCCATTTGAAGTGCTGCCACCACATGTGTGCGTTTGAACCTCAGTGCCTCCATCCCTTCCAAAACCGGAGCACAGAGCACAGGGACCGCGGGCACAGACACACGTAATATAACCCCAGGGAGGACTTTTGCTTCTGCTTCCTTTTATAGGGATGGAATGCATTTTAGACTTCTTTTTCCTCCTTTCCTTCTCCACTCTCTGTTGTGAGCAGGTGCAGAAGCCGTCCCAAGCAAAGGGCATTGCAGCCAGTAAATATAATCAAGAAGGTAACACAAGGCAGACGCAAGCCCACGCTCTGATTAAACTGACTGTCCTCACTATGTGAGGAATATTCTGGTTTTGGGGGTCAGCAGCTTACCGTAAACTAATCAGGGACTTGGAAGGGTGGGCGAGATGAAAAGGTTGGCAGAAAAGTAACCAGGGACATAGCAGGGGTCTCATTTACAAAACGAAGGTGACATCAGCTGAGCAAGAAACCTTTCGATGAAAATTAATACCTGGTAGGAAATAGAGGTGTGCTACAGTAATCTCTGGGTAGCACTGCCCAGAAAAGATCAGGATCCATGTTTATAGGTCATACATTGCCAGCATATTCCTCTCTTACCAAACCAGAGAGAAAAGCCAAAATCAATACATTTTTCCATGCTGTGCTTGGGCTTTTCTAATCACCTTTTCAAGAGCAGGAGACACTAAATCAGTTCTAAGTCTCAGATTAAACCAGTTCTGAGTCTCAGCTGTCACAACCGTAGCATAAAGGGAGGCAGTGACTGGTAGTTTAATTACATCTATTTATAGGCTCATCAATTTCTATTCCTCATCTTTTGCAGCCTCCCTCACAAGATACAATCTAAAGTTCTGAGCAGAATATGAGGATCGCTCCCAACAACGAGGATGTCACGACTGTTCCCAAAAGGTAACACCCAACTTGTTCCCAATTGTGAGTAGACACCCAGAAGACCCAACACACGCTCCACATCCTCCACACACTTCAGGAGACCCCCAAATCCAAACTCAACTATAAACGGCCACAGACTGAAAACAAACCGAGACAGTTTCACCTTCTTAAGCAGAACAAGAATGAGGACAACCCAATATCAAAGAAGTTCTGCTTTAATAGATATTACTTACAGAGATGTATCAAATTTGGGTGCTGAGGCGCTGGCACAGGGTGCCCAGAGAAGCTGTGGCTGCCCCATCCCTGGCAGTGTTGAAGGCCAGGTTGGACACAGGGGCTTGGAGCAACCTGCTCTAGTGGAAGGTGTCCCTGCCTGTGGCAAGGGGTTGGAAATGGATGATCTTTAAGTTCCCTTCCAATCCAAACCATTTTATAGTCCTATGAAACTTCTGAATCGATACGTTAAATGACAATATAAACATCTTCTTCCTTTCTATGACAGCATTTCCTCTTAAACCTAACATTTACCTTAACCTCTCAGCCCAAAAAGGGCTGCTAGTGCTACACAAACAATCAGAACGTGTTAAGGACAATGAAAACCTACAACAAAGAAACGGATTCAATTATTTATCATCCAGATTTTGCAGCACCACGAGGTTTTGAAGCTGGACCGAAGGCTGCTACTGAATCAAGCACCTGGCTCAGGTCAGCTCACAAACACTCACTGTAAAGTTGCCTCATGGTTTAGCTTCATAACGTCACCCGGGCTGCGCTGAGCGCAGAGCCTCGGCCCGGCCCCGGGGGTGGGCTGAGAGCCGGGTGGGCGCCGCTGGAATAAAACTCATCTCCGGGCTCCGGTTCAAGCGCACACGAGGGCGCAGGGAGCCCGGCCTGACCCCCGCCAGGAGCCAGTG